AGTGCTAATATATCTTGTTTCGAACCATCTTTTCGTAATGTGCTGCTAGTTGGTACAGGGAAAAGCAATTCTATTAGGGTTTCACTTGCCGGTGACGGAGAAAATTATGTGTCAGTAAGATAAGATTTGGGGCTTTTACCGAGATTTCGTCAGAATTGCACCATATTCTCCCCAAATCATTGCTTTTCAAATATACGTGGACTATATTCATTTAATAATCAATATGCTAGGTCCTAGATGCAATGCTAACGTCATTTATAAACGGTAAGCATTACATCTCACACATACTCTCTCACATACCCTAAATCTAACTTGTTTCAACAATCAACCTTTGCTTCTTTTTGGCTCTCCACTTGCCCCCCTTTTTTCAGATTTCAGAACATCCGGGTTCTCATGCTTCTCGTCGACAGGAATATCCACTTTGTAACCAGAGGGGTAGTTAAAGAACACCAGACGAGTCCAATTCGCATTCTGGTGAGGAAAGAAAGACAGAGAGCAGATACGGACAATCACGAGATGTGTCTGAGCATGAACTTGGACGTTGCCTCATAACCAACTTGGATCCGCTTCAAGATGCTTTATGCCAGATGGGCCATATCTGCGGATGAACAGGAGCACCGGAATCATGGTCATGACATCCAAATTCAAACTTGTCTGCGTCTGAAGAAACGCTTACATGCAGAGTCGCACCTTTTCTTTATAATCAGCTAACCTCAGGTCGAGGACTGTCCAATCAGTAGCCAGTGCATCAGCCCAACAACAAATGTACTTGCATCCGAGGTATTGGAGTCCCATTTGTCCAGAACCTAAGACTAGAGTGTCCAGCCCATGTGGCAGGGTTCCCAGATTTTCCGTATGGTCCTGCTTTTGAAGCTAGATGGCATGCGCAGATGGTGTGGCAAATAAACACTGCAGCCTCTGATCGATATTCCCGGCCGTATTCTAAAAAGTGTTTGTCCTCAAAGTATGAGAACGAGGTTGTATGCCTCGATGTATGGAATAATCCCGCACTTTGTTCGATAATAAAGTGAATGGCTTTCGTATCTCCAAAGGCTGTGTGGTTATATACGTTTGCTTTATTCACATCACGTGTATAGATCTGTTGGGAGACTTGTTCTTTTTGACCACGTGATCCGCCGCTAGTTATGCATCCAGCTGAGAAGAATGTACCACAAGGAGCTGGTTCAAAATTTTTCGAATCAAGAATGTGATGATAATTACCTGGCATGGACAAGAACTTGGGTGTTCTTGTTCTATTTGCTTCTGCAATGAGGCTAAGTGCCCACAAGATAATCTTCATGAGTCGCTGGACACAGGAAAAACTCTAAGGTTTCGGACGGACAGTTCTCTATATTCGCCGTCTACAGTCCCTCACCACAAGAAGCAGGTGCATGTCTGACACACTCTGGCTCCTTATTCTGTCATGTAGAAGAATCACATTCTTAATTCCGCATTATCGTCGGGGCAAATACTTGGCAGCCAAGCCATTGGTATATCCATGAACTGGTAAGTCAGTGACCTTGAATGTGAATCATTACATCACGCTGATCTTTCGGTAGATCATGATAACCTGTGACACTGTGTAGACAAAGTGATAACCTTACGTAGATACAGGAGAATTTTATATGGGGTGCATGAATGTAGCGAGACTGAAGGGAAATATATAATTTGAAGGGAAAACATGAGGTTCAGACAGATCTCGAAGGATCTGTGTGAACCTCGCCCTATATCAGACTATCAGGAACATTTGTTTCGAGGGCCATTACATTGTATCCTTACTAGGCAGGCACATATGTCGGGTAAAGCCTCCCTGGAGTGAAAATTGATCGAGGTGTCAAAAGGCTTCCGCACGCGAACAAAAGACGAAGAACAGGAGGGTCTCCAGTACATATATAAAAGACAGTGAAAGAAGAGAGGGCATCTTCTCTCATATGTATACTCTGAACGAATCTGAATGAGAATTCAGAATCTGAATACAGAGGATCTGATTCATTTATCATCGCAGCCGTATGTGACAAGAAAGGGGGTACATTGACCTTGAGCGTGGAGATTCAAAGCCGCTTCTGACGATAATTGCATAGAACTGTTACTATCTTGAGGCCTTGAGCGGAAAAGTAAGCTTGATGTAAGAACTGAGGATCGTCATGCTACCTGAGCACATCTTTAGCCTCAACGTTAGCGAAACAGGCCAAGATTGTCAACACTTCCAACATTCTCTCGGTCTATCTGTCATACACTGCAGATGCTTACATTCTCAAATACAGTCACAGCTCCTCATCGCCTTCGTGTAAGATACTCTATTAGCAGCCATTTGTTTTCAAGTACTTAAAATGCTTTAACTAAATCTGATCTCAGGCCGCGCCACTGTTACAGCTGGTGCATTCATGTAAACCTACTCCACGGGACTCGCTAGCAGCGTGCAACAATATGCAGAAAGTTTTTCCAAGTTTTTCTGGAAAACTTTTGTACTGTTTTTCCAAGTTTTTATATGAAGTACACGGCGGTACAGCCACCGAGCCTGGGAAACTTTTAAAACAGACGCAGGACAGGATCTCATAACAGTAACGGTTTAAAGAGAGAATAGAACTGCAATATCAGGCCTTGATAAAGAAAAGCAAGAAGGTTCTACGCCTTAATTCTGGCTGATGATGTTTCAGCCAGACGATTCTCTATAGCTCGTTTCCTGAGGCTGTCAGAAGTTGCATATCGAATCCTCTTACCCTCAGTAACTGCAGTCCACGTTGGGCCTTTGCATCTCGTACAAGCCACTCGGCAGAGGGACATCAAAGCAAACAATATTATTTGTGACATTTTTTTTGGTAATCGACTTGTTATGTGCACCAAAATCAAATCGCCCTTGTTGAGGTTGATAACCTTGTTTTCACGTTTGACCAACAGAAGAAATGATTCATTCAATACAACTTCAACTCAACGAGTAGAAAACCTGATACTCTCGTAAGCCGGCCTTGCCCGATCATTCAAGAACTAAAAGCTTGTCTAGTTTCACTAATAGTTTTTATGATCTCATAATCAAGACTACTTGTGTTATTAATAACAAAAGAACCCAACATATACCTCATGTTTTGGAAAATGGTGGTCCCTTATACTTAATATAATGATAATCTCAACACCATTAAATCTTCGGTTGTAATAAAGAGGGGCATGAAAATAGCTATAGATGATGTAGATCTAACTTGCTCTTTTTCCAAGGTAATTATCTTACTCTCAGTGATTGAATTTCTTAACTGGATCTTTATTATACTGCTCATACTTGTTATTTTCTGCCTCAATTGAGATATGAAATTCACCTCAGCATTAGCTTTATGATCTATCATTCGACAAGGGGCTTATTTTTCAAAAAAATTTCAATCTGCACCTCTTAGCATCCTTTCAAGGAAAAACATGACACCTTTTGTTGATTTTAATGACCATTAAAATATTGATCAATGATGTAACTATGTTTGAGAAATGCTCACAAGACAAGATTTTTACGTTGATCTTAAAAGAACATATTTTGTTTCTGTTTCCAGCAGATATTTGGCACATAATTTAATAACTGATTTTAATTTTAAAGTTAAGTAAAAAATCTAGTTCCTACAACCTATATACTTAAAGTGATTATGATGATGTTTGAAATGTAGTCATAAATATCATGATTGCTCTGCAGATCCCATCCAATAGCTTTGAAAGTATGAGCTCTTCAGTAATAGTAGTTTTTCAGTAAAATAATAACAATCTCACAATATATCACAACATATGATATATCGCTTTATTAATGTTAATTTTAACACTTCATCGATTGAAATGTTCTTAATTTGACACAATCAAACTTGTTTCTCCTTTGAATGTTTGGAAAAAACAATTATGTCTTGAATATATGAGACACTAGATTCAACGAGTATAATTTATTAGTTTTAGAGCATGAAGCTATAAATTTCCAACCAAAATTACATATATTTAAAATATTTGGTAATAGAATTTATTTTAATCTCCAAATTATGATTAACAAGGACTAAGCCCATTAAAATCATAAAATTTCATATCTTTTAAATATGATCTATTTCAGTATCAAAGTACTTTCACTTTCATAAAATGAATTGAAAATGAATGATAGTCTCGTTTCTTGAAATATATTGCTATTAATATTTAGATTATTTAAACATACACGGTGTGCTTATCATAAACATTGTACCTACAAATATATATCTTCTTTAAACAATTCAATAACAACGATGGTGATCAAGTTCATAAAAAATTTATAATTTGCAAAACTATTATTCGATCTCAAAAATAAACAACATCGATGGTTACGTAAGTAGACGTAAACCTACTAAGTCAAAATCAAGTTCAAGATGTTCAAGATGCAATGAAAATCATCTTGAAAACCTCAATGCTCTTATAAATGACATTCCATGGAATCATGATTTTCAAAGCTTGATTCCCGGATTACAGTTTGGGATTTCTTTTCCCGAAACAAGATTCTTTTAATTTTGAATCTGTTTATCTACTTTACATATATTTAGAACTCGAATGACACGTTATTTACTGATCTACATTCAATTTTATCGAAAATTATAATATGAAAAAAATAAACCAATCTTTAGTGGTGATAATGCCTACTCAGATATGGACCGAGCACAGTGGACAAATTCTTGGATTCATGTGCTGGAATTGTTCGCAGAACCTGCCTAGATATAGCAATCAATAAAATTGTCTGAAGTACATCGAATTTGATGTGTAGGGCAATTGCTGTTGAAATTTCTGGTCTGAGACAATGCTAATTCTGGCCAGATAATTACTAAAGATACCTTCCAATGGGAACTCTGAAGCAGACAGATGTAGATAGAATTGTGCAGAGTCTTTACCCCAGCCAATAGGTATACATATATTTTGCTCAAGTGAATTTGCATTAACTATAACAGTAAATATTGATGGTTGTAAAGGGCTCGGGTTACTTTGAGTAGTTTCCCTCTCTTTAGGCCAAGACGATATATATAAGATCCAGGATTCATAATCATCATTGTCATGTCGTACTTTATTGCAAATCAGAAGGGTATGTTTTTCAGGTCACTATTCTCTCCCTCCATTTCTCAATGATGAGAAATCAAGAAGTTTACAATGAGCAGCATTTATCTACATATTTGTACCCATAACATATGACCAGACTACTTACTTCCTATAGTATACACAGATGTAGAGTAGACCACATCCTATTTTTATCAGACCTATCTAGTTATGTACAACTCGTGTTGTCAAACATGGTTCTCTACGTGCGATATACCTCCCGAGCTAAGAGCAGTCCGTGATAAACTTAAGACAGCTTTGGCTGAAACAAGTGTGTCCAATCTCTACTATCGGATTTTCGGGGATGTTCGGCGTCGATGAGTGAAGGATGGGGCTCCAGTGGGGTGTCCTTTGCAGGACTCAAGAAGTTTAAAATAGACAGACGTGCTTTTTTTTCATTGACCACCGCCCTGTGCAATACGCTCGAAAATCTTCCATTCGTCCAGGTCTGCAGGACATGGGAAGATTTGACAGTTTCAGCTTAGAACGGCAAGTCGGGTAGGAACAAGGTTCGTCATATTCTTCTGCAAAATGGCTGAGCTGAAAGAGCTGGTCAGAAAGGATGTGAAGATTACCTGTAATGCAGTGCCGATGTTTACGAGCAGTGTGTCCGGGACGGGCTCTACTTGGAACCAAAAGTCATTTTTCAGTAACTGATAACCAGCAACGTCACCCTGAACTATTATAGTGAGAGCGTTGGGGTCGGTATGGGGTCCTAGGCCCAACACAAAATCAGGAGCAGGACACGGAGGGTAGTGATTGAAACGCCAATTAGTCTGGTATGCTTTGTCTTCTGCGAAGTGCTTGGAGAAGAAATCTCTTTCAAGTTTCAGATGCTCTGCCAAGAGCTCAAATATCTGTATACCCAATTGGCGTATGGCTTCGCTGAAGGTCTTCACAGCTTCACTGTTCAAAAGCAATGTTTATGAGAACACAATATTTCGCAGGACTCTTCAATCAGGAGATGTGGCCTGCACAGACTATGCCTCCGAATCTACCGTCAATTTCACGTGTTATAAACGTTGTGAAATAAACATGAAGTACGTAGACACGGAAGGCATGATTCCATAAATCAACTTCTACACTGAAGACTACACTTCTAAATACAATGCGGAAGTTCATACAGTAGTGTATCTACAGTACTGTATGCATAGTATAGAGTCTGGATTGTATCCAATAAACAATTTCGGAGAGACTTTCTGATCTAGTTGTGTGCATGCCGACCCTACTGATATCAAACTACTCGCTGAAGGGCGGCTAATCCGGCTTTTCTTACAATCGACAGGGAAATCCGGAAACTGACAATGTCAATCCAACTGGCTCTATACTTCCTGGGATGAGAGGCTGAGTAGACGTGACAGGACCAGAACATAGGACGTTAGGAATGAAACGGTATCTGCCATATCTTCAGCCATTGTGAAGAGAGTTTAATTGTACTATCATCCGATTCAAAATCGAGTAGAATGCATAAAACTGCATTTCTTCGATATGCTCAAGTCCGATATACTTGTCAGCATGTACATCTGACTTGGAGTCCAAAAGTTACAGTTTCTCGTATCTAAGACTGAAACGCTGGTCGTCAGAGATTTCGGGAGAGAAAGGTATTCAATCTATATCTGGTAACTGAAAAACACACGATGTATAAATAGAGTTTCTTACCCTTTGAGCCTAAAACGCCCGGTGCTAGAAAATATGAAGTAGAGAGAACAAAAGCGCTTGGACTTGCGATAGATCTCAACTATGACTGCATTGCTCTTAAGATTGGTCTACAGCTAGCGTTAGAAAGTAATTGAAACTGACTCAAACCGCGGACGTACATGATGATAATAACATGACATACATTTCCAAATTATAAACGAGTACATGTAACACTCAACTGGATTACTTGGAATTGAATGTTTGATGTACTTTGAAACTGATGGATAAAGCAGTGGGTTAAACAGAATTGGATTGTTACCAGAATGAAGCGCTTTCATTCGATTCAGGCCAAAGAATGGAAGCAAGATTTTTGACTCCGGAAACCGGATGCTCAAGTTCACCGAGGTGTTCCAACCATGGAACTTTTTCTTGAAGATGCTGAAATCTTCCGCCGTAACCTTGATAATAAGGATTCTTTCCGGGGTGAACTGTAAGATTGAACACAGCTTCCTCCTTCTTTTCCTTGGGCAGAGAGAAGAAATTGTGACCGTAGGACATCATTTTGTCAATCAAATCCCTCGGAATTGTATGATTCTTCACCAAGAAGAAACCCCATTCTTCAGCAGCAAGGCCAATATCTTTCACCAGTCTTTCACGGAGTGCATGGTCTTGTGAGGACTGATGTTTCATGTCCATCACAGGGAAGACGAATGCAGGTTTAGATCCCGCTTCCTGCATGCCATCACGGAGAGATGTCTCCCACTTGTATCTGTCAAGTATTGATCTGTTATCACTCGTCTTTAGAATTTCAAGAGTCTCATCCAGGTGCGGGAATTGCATGGACTGTCCTTGAGCTGCGGAATCAGCAGGAACAGCAACTGAAATCTCTTTCTGTCCCATAGCTGAGAGAATTATAGTCTCTTCAGTAGTGAAGTTCAGTCTTACTGCAGGCAAGCAACGAACAAGTTCGAAACGAATGCAGCAGAAATATGCTCCTCAGTGTCAATGGTTCGTGAGAGATTTTTCCTGATGAGAGCAACAACCACGAGCTGATGTGTCTAACTCAGGGGTACCAACCGCTAGGAATTGACATTCAAGGGTCCACATCCCAGCTTTATACCCATCCATCTCCACATTCTGGGCGAGCTTTGCTCAGGACCAGTGACAGGTCGGCAGATGTAATTTTACGCTGTTTAGCCAAAGGACCAGGAGCGGGGAAATGAAGTCTCACTGTAAACTCGCAAGAACTCGGCGCAGTCAGCGAACTGCTGGTCGAGGGATGTTCATGACCGAGGTAAACCTCGAGAGACCAGAAAAAGGCAAAAGAAATTGTCCGTTTAAGTTAAAACTCGTACAAACACTTTTCGAAGGACTGACTATTAACATTAAAAGTGCACGTTCGACCTCCACCAGTACTGCCTACTTTGGGTATAAGACCCTTCTCTAGAACCCAGAAACTCTGTACCACAACTGGAAGAGCCAAACGGGAACAGCGGTAGGTGACTCCTGCACTTTTCCATGAACAGAAACCTTAATGTGATCATGACGCATACATACATGACTTTGGTAATCTTAGTAGACCTTACTAGAAGAAAGGGGTCAAAAGAAACCTTACTTACTTGTCACTGGAGGCCAAGAGAAAAATAAATTAAAAAGGGATAAAAGAGAAAAGAGAAAAGAGAAAAGAGAGAGATGAAAATTCCCTACTTCGATATTAAATACTACTTCGTATTTAAGTAAATTCTAAGACAGGAACTGTCCAGAAAAGCTGGCTTCAGGGGCATTTTGCTTTTTCTTCGCATCGTGAGTATGTTTCATTGTCATCATCGTACAAATAATGCATGGGACTAGCTGAGGATGACGAAGAAAGTACTGTGGTTTAGTAAATTCATAACATTAGTAATTTTAGAAAACATATTACAAAGGACTATATGATCGACCTACAGCATGATTCGTTTGGTATTCTATAATCTTCAACAATTTCAGTCAAACAGATTTCAAACTAAGCTAACCAAGATTCTTACTTTGTGATGAGCCGGTTCTAGGTTATATCTTTGAAAGTGATATATGAGTTCATTTTTTCTCAATCGTGAATCATGTATATATACTCACTTGTATTTGCCTCAATATGTAGCCAAAAATGACAGACTTATGTCCTGGAATCATTAATACCGCTATTTCTTTTAAACTATCTACAATCTTTGAAAGAAATGTTAGAACTATTGAGTTCATTGAAGTCGAAAGTTTTACTACGACTATCGTCAATTGTGGTAAAAGAAAAGCAGATCATAAATAAGTTCTGAAAATGTGATAAGCTGAATCAAACGCCGACCTGATTTTGCGGTGTGTAAACAAGCAGTGAAACTTATCTTGAAAGACAGAAACATACTATTTTTGTTCTTACCCGGAAGTCATTAATTGATAATGATCATTTTTCGGTGAACGCACTACTTTGTCCTCAAGTTCATTATGGAATAGGTTTTTATTCTAAAAATATGTTGTATAAGCTAGCTCATCCATTACCACGGTTCAAAGGGAGTTGCATAAATGCTATTTTTAAACATGTACAGCGAAATTCTAGATCTCATTAAAATCTTCTATTGTCATAACTATAGAACAGATTATCTACAGCAGGAAACTAACTTCTCAACATTGACATTTATATCTTGAAGTATTTACAGCCATAATAAACAATTTGTATATTACGTGCAGTATACACTGTTATTGAAATACTTTATTGATATTAATTAAATCTTTCAATTTGCAAATGAGTTACATTCAAGTCTTATACCATGTCTTTACCACTGTTGATAAAGGATTTGACCAATTTTCATTCCGAATACAGAACGTAGTTACTATACAGAAACTCATGTCATTCAACTCCATAATTGAAGTGGAAATGTATTCAAAACTAGTTGAGGTGTTTGTCTTGCAAATCTATGTAAATGAAAGACGAGCCGAACGCATCAAAGTATAGTCACAAGATTGCAGGAAAAAATACGTGACTAGATAAAATCTTCATGATATATAGTCTAAACTCAGTACAAAGGATTTACTGCACGAAATTGAGGTTGTTCCATGAGATTGTACTGGAGTGAACATATTAACCACCAAAGCAAGATACTAAAAGCAGAGACAGAAACGCCCTGAGAATATCTTGAACAAGACAACCCTAGTTTGGCCATTAGGTTCTAGTCCATGAAGTGGCAGTAATATCTTATCTTGTCAAGTAAAAGTAGTCTCAAGAATCCGACCAAAGTCTACTTGCTCTAACTCGGAACCTTAAATGCCTCGTGGTGGTCGGACATCGAGAGCACAATTGTTCCTACCATCTTACGAAAAAGCGAAAAAGGAATTCTAGCGTGCTTTATGCGTATACAACAAAATTTATCTGATTAACAGCTGTATTGCAAGTGAAATTCTTCTCTACAGTATTTCCGGAACAGTATAGATGGTGCTTGTAAAAGTGTTTGGAATTCCTCGTGCTTTTGTAAATTTTAATGAGAAGACAGAAGACAACTTTTTATCGGAGTCGGTCATCTCATTTCCACTTACATCGTTCAAGCTTGGCACTCAAAGTTATTTCCAACGCTGTCTAGGCCTTAGCCTTAGAATGATTTATTCAAATGGTTTCAATTTGAAATTTCTTGCAAGAAATATCTTTTTATTTTTTAGTTTCAACATTTTTTTTTAAGTAGTTGGAAATACTGACGCATCTTATTTGATTTCTTAAAAATAATAAAATATTACACAAAAAAAACTGCAAGTTTCATATGTTCCTAAGTCTTAACTTCTGAAATTGAAATATCCTACACCACACCGTAAGATGTCTGCCAAAATAGTTAACATAACTTCATCAACTCTACTGGACCTGCATTTCATTTGATATTTTAAATATCAATCCCGGAAATTCTCATTGAAGTCTTAAATATTTCTGAAACGTGATACTAAAACTCATGATCGGTTTCTTCGAACGGATCATCCTATGTACCTTCGGAAAACTGATGAAGTTGTCACGATAGATGGTTAAATCAATTTAAGTCTCCATCCTCCATCCCCGCTGTTTCTGATCCAGCTGCCAACTCTAGCTAAAATGCCGAAAAATAATAGAACTTTGTTAATAGGACATTACTAAACTTTAATAATGTTAACCACTTTAATTCAAGATCAACTCCGATATCAATGACATCTGTAGTTGAGTCAGAGTTGTGTGGATGATGCTTAGAAGCTGACAAGTCATGTTGGTGATGGTGTTCTTAAAATGAATGATTGTTAACTTTTGTTGACTTATTTTGAAAAAATTAGAGTGTGATGCTTGAATAAAAATTTTGATCGCTCTTAGTTTGCAAAAAATTCACCTAATACCTTCTTGAAGATAAAAGTGAGTATTTTGAAGATTGAAATTCAAACCATTTCGCATTCTACTTGAAAATATAGATTCTTTGCAGAAAACATGAATTATGTATGCTACGAGACTAAAGTTGGGAAAATAATTAATAATAGACAAGAAAATCGAAATAATCTAAATACACAAAATAAATAAGCACATTGAATTTAAAACTAAATTATGGTGTTCAATTATTAATTGGAACAAAGCCTATTCAATTTAATCATCTTAGATAAAAAATCTGAATTCGAAACAGCAGTTTAAAATTTCTTTTCATTGATATTTCTTCATCTCAAATCGAACCTGTTTGTCATAATGAATCATTTTATCAACTTTTATTTACTCCATGAGAAAAAATATGTAGAAATGTGGATGTAACATTAAAGACTTTGTAAGCTGAGTGATGCAAAGTTTTGTAAGTTGTTTCGCAGTATACTTTATGTTTAAGGCTTGTCCGTATAAGTGTATATCTATGTATGTATGTATGTAAGTATGTAAGTTAATACGTACGTGGTAAATTGGTATCACACTCAAGTTCTCTGGAGACTTAAAATACAAAAAGTTTGCAAAGGATTTTTTTATTCTACGGAGTAGATGAAACAATAGGAGCTATATATGTTGGTAAAAGTTAGACCTGATTAATTGGAAGAGATCAATGAGTAAGAAACTAACAGCTTTCCGTATTTTCTGAGCGAAGAATAACGAAAGTACTCAAGAAATGGATATTATAGAAATGAGCAAAGTTTTTCAAAATAGTATATGCTTTCAAAATGTTTCACTAGATTCTACGAATCGTTTATATTATCATTGCTTGAGGTCAAGATCTTGAAAAAGAAGAATGGCATACACTAAAAAATTGAAAGTACTTATTTTACATGCAGAATTTTGACTATTAGATATAAATTTATTTGTAGTGAATACATTTTCAGTAAACAATCAACTTCAAGACGTTTAAATATAGCTGTGTACGCATACAGTTATGAACTTGAAAACATATTTTCCTTAATTCGTAAACGATCTATCTTTCAAAAAACTCTCACGAAACAAAATGTCAGTGGAAGGTTTTGCTGTGCATCATGACGAAAACCTTGAATATGGATTGTTCTCAGTTGTAATATATCAAAATATTTCACTTATAGATTGAAATCATTTTTTTAATGCAGTATAATGTTATAAATTATAAATTTAAAGGATTCCAATATTATTATTCAACATATATTTCAAATTTTTTAAAATTATTTTTATCCGCAAATAACTGTTTAATTTTTTTGGTTTTTTATTTGGTTTTTTACAAAGATAATGTAAAAAAAGAATCACATCAATACATATTCTTACATTAAAATATGTAAATTAAAAAAAAAACATCTTTGACTAAAAAATTCGATACTATATATTTAAGATTCATCTTATAAATTATTTCATTGAATTGAAAGTTTAGGGTTCATGCTATTGAATCAAATTATCAAATGTAGAATTTACTTGGCAAAATTATCACGAATATTTTATTTTATTTTCAAAAAAATATTTAATATTTTTTCCAACCTCTGCTGTACATCTAATTGATTATAGAAAAATTATTTAATTTATAACATTATGATTTTGAACCTTTTAAATATTTTATTTAAATATTTCAGGTATAATAAGAAGATAAAATATTAAAAAATATAAAATTTACGATTGA